TGGCACTATACTGCTGGTGGCTTCAGAGTTGTTCTTCTTTGATGCAACAAGAATGACTGCTTGAGCACGCTGGGCCCGCTTGACCTACTCAGATTTAAAAGACAACAAAGGAGCCTGGTTTGGACTGAGGAAATGGCGCCGCGAGATGCAGCTAGGCTTGCCAGAGGTGGAGAAGGCACAGTAACTGAACACAATGCATCCAAAGAGGAAGAATTCTGGTGATTTCGTGATTGTTGCTTCCTGCCGCTGTCACCTCCACCACCGCCACCACCGCCACCACCCCCCCACCTTGTCCTCCTCCTTGTCCTCCTCCTTGTCCTCCTCCTTGTCCTCCTCCTTGTCCTCCTCCTTGTCCTCCTCCTTGTCCTCCTCCTTGTCCTCCTCCTTGTCCTCCTCCTTGTCCTCCTCCTTGTCCTCCTCCTTGTCCTCCTCCTTGTCCTCTTCCTTGTCCTCCTCCTTGTCCTCCTCCTTGTCCTCCTCCTTGTCCTCCTCCTTGTCCTCCTCCTGGTCCTCCTCCTGGCCTCCTGGCCTCCTCATCCTCATCCCCATCCTCATCCTCATCCTCATCTTCCTCATCTTCCTCATCATTCTCATCATCCTCATCATCCTCATCATCCTCATCATCCTCATCATCCTCATCATCCTCATCATCCTCATCATCCTCATCATCCTCATCATCCTCATCATCATCATCATCACCATCATCACCACCATCACCATCATCACCATCACCATCGCCATCGCCATCACCACCACCACCACCACCACCATCACCACCATCACCACCATCATCATCACCACCATCATCATCATCATCATCACCATCACCATCATCATCATCACCATCATCACCATCATCACAGTCATCATCATCATCATCATCATCATCATCATCATCATCATCATCATCATCATCATCATCATCATCATCATCATCATCATCCTTGTCGTCGTCGTCGTCGTCGTCGTCATCATCATGGTCCATTAGTATCAGTATCAGTTCTTGAGGTCCTGGTGGAAAAGTCGGTAGTTGGGTTTGCTAAATCTTTACCATGTCCACCATGCCCGCCATTCCCGCATTTCAAGAGATCCTAGATCCCAAGCCAGCATCCACCATCCTGGGCCAGCGCAGCGCTTCTGCACAACCAATGCCACGGCGACGAGCGCCAAGCAAGGGCCCCAGAGGAAGCGCGATGACTCAAACTTGATTTACTCTTCATAGACAGATCGCCCATCATGTCTGGTTTCTTACAGGATGCACCGCGTTGTGAGATTCACGGGACATATTTGAGACCTACCACTAAGAGATCCACACCGCAAGAGATCAAAAAACAATCAACAAATCAATTAGTGAAAACTGCAGACGTGCAGATGAAAACTTCGGAAACGCAGTCACTGGTGCCCATGGTGCCCATGCTGCCCGGCCTTGTTGAGGTGATGACTCAAATCAGCCAGGGCCCGCAGGACGGTCTGGCGCTCCCTGCCCTACGCAGGTGCAGCGGTTTTTTTTAAACCATGTTTTATCCACGTTTTCATGACAATATTTCAATATGTTTCAAGGCTTTAAAGGAAACTATGTGTAGATATTGAGGTAATTAACTACAGGGCGGCAAGACAACTGCATGGCAACTGCATGAAGGTCCCTCACAGGCGGCAGAGTCCACGACAAGGCACGGCTGGAGCTGGTCAAGGAATGAAAATTGCACCTTGCGCAACTTGTAGATTGGAGCCATGAGTAGCAAGCGCAACTCGTCAAGATTCGTCAAGTATGTTTGCAAATTTGGTAGTTCTGACATTCCACGGAAGTGTCGCCGCTCCAGGTAGATCTGCTTCTTTTGAACAGGGTGATGCATGCCCAGGCAAAGCCTGGCGAAGCACGTTGCACTGCGCTGCGTAAGCAAAGAAAACATGTGATTCATTTGGCTCATTTGGTAGCGAGTGGAAGATATGAATGATTTTGCTCAGAGATGAACGTGTCCATACAACGTGAATAGGGAAACGGAAACAAATCGACGGGCATGGGCAAGCAGTAATACAGTCGAATTGCTGACTCGCAGCATTGCAGAGGTGGATATCAATCACACTATGTCAAGATTGTCAAGACGAAGTCGCAGCTTGACAAGGCAAAGGAAGAAACAATACGAAAGTTTTTTGACAAGGCCTTTGCGAACATTCATCCCTCGAGCTTTCCACAAGGCAACTATGGACGTGCCTGGAGAAATGTCAACAGTTGAATGTTGGCTAGTTTGAACGTGTCGAATGTTCTGCGTGACTCCATGTGTATGCCTCTGCCATCCTTTGTTTTAGAACTTTGTAGATATCCTAGAATCAAAACCAGTCATTGTTTCTCAGGCTCTTTGAGCCGCGCTCAAGACTTGGTAGGAGTTTCAGGACATTTTTGACAATTTGGGTTCCTACATAATGCGACATGCCACTCGGACGCAAATGGTGTAGGACTCCAAGCGGAAAACCATTTGAATTTCAAAGGCATGCCATGGCTCATGCTACCTGTGTGGTCCGTTTGCTGTGGTTCCAAGGTGGCCAATGAAGCACCAGACGCATCTGCAGGAAGTTTGCGTGAGCAGGTAATCGATGTGGGGTTGGAAAGGCTTCGAACCAGGGTGAGTAAAAAGCCACGTAAACAGTGTAGGATATGTATAGGTACATGTGTTTAAAAGTGGCTTGACCTCAAACATTTTTTTGCAAATTGTCAAAATTAGTTTGAAGTCTCTAGGCATCAAATGCGTACAAATTTGAATCAGGCAAATGGACAAGATGCAGGAAAGACGGTTGTCCACCAAGCATATCAACAAAAACCAGAGGATATGGATTTAGAATGATTTCGATTCAATTTAGGTAAATTTTAGATGTCTTCCTTAGTCTTCCTTGTTTGTTGGCTTGTGAGGCCAGAGGCCAGGCATACCGGGATATGGCCTTGCAGCAGATGGACCTGGACCGGTGTGGGCTGTTGGGTTTCGCAATTTTGCAAAATCTTTCGTCCTCAGAACACGCATAAAAGGCAGAGATACTCATGTCGATATCAGTTTGATGGGAAGACCTTGGCCCTTGAACTTCAATAGACTTTTCAAGTGTCAGCGCTGCGGGCACGGCTAGATTTAAGTGGCAAAAGAAAGTGCCAACGGTGTCCTCACAGAGAGCTTGTAGAGAGATGTAGAGATGTAGCTTGGCGAGAGCAGACTTCCTCCTTGTTATTGCCTTCTGCCATCAACCATTGCAGGAGGGATCTGTGGTGCCGGAGGACTGGTCGGCGACTATTGCATCATGTTGTGTGATGAAACAAAACCAAAGTAACCAAAGGGTGCATCATAACGCTTGAATGTCTTGAATCAGTTTCGTTCCAGTCGGACTCAAGGCAGAGGATGCTTTCTCATTGTCCTTTTAGACTGTCTTTGGCAATCCTTCATGAAAGAGTTGTTGCCATGTCAGGAAAGTAACAAGGACGGCCCGGAGTGGTGGGAATGGATTTTAATTTATTCTCATGGATTGCCGCTCCCCACTAGACAATGCGGACGTTTGAGCTGCTCCCATTCCAACACCTCGGTGCCTGAACCACCCTGCTAGTTCAACCCTGATTTGCAGTTTTTCATGTTTTTTCCATCACCATATAGAGCCTATGTTTGCCACTACTGCAGGAATATGCAAAAAAGGTTTGACAATGAAATGCTATATGGTTTTGCTGATGTAGCTACGTTGAAACAAGTCCACTTCTTGGGACTGTGTAATTTGACATGGTTGCTTAGTTGGTTTCAAGGAGGATCCTCAATCCGCGGTTGACAAAGCCGATCGGTTCCTCGGTGTGTATATGACACAACCGACTGCAAGGCAAAGTGGCAAAACCATATAGCCAGGTGCCGGAAATCACTAGACTCATTGGCACTGTTCGCCTGGACGATTTGTGACTAGTGATCGGGAGTTCCGGCTAACTAGAACTACCTCTACTGATCCTCTACTGCCTGGCACATTCACAAGTATTCACACTTCCCAGCTTCCGAAAAACTGGCCGAGGGCAATTATGTGCGAGTTGCGGGAGCTCAAGCAAGAGATTGTGGACCTGAAAGACAGCTTTATGTTCGGCCACAAACGCTGGGAGCCCAAGACCGCCTGTGCTGGAAACACTTGGTTCTCGAACATTCTATAACAGTCTCGAACAATTGTAATTAATTAGTGATGCTAAGGGCCAGACGCTGAGTGACTTTTCTATTGCATCTATTGTCTAATTGCATCTATTGCCTCCCGAGAAATGATGCTCTTGCTGAATGTCATAACTTTGTCCGCACCATCGCAGTCAGGGTCTCATTTCCAACACCGTTCATAGGTGATGACAGAGATGCTTGGTACGCGCACGTGACAGTGAAGTGACGCCTGGATTTCCACGGCGGCTGCAAGTTTCCTGCCCAAAGTTGGTGATTGCACAATGTTCACTGACCAGGGAGGATGGACCAGGTGCAGCCGGTCGGCGGACTGGTTTTGTAGCTCTGCTGTCCCTTGGAAATTTGATTGTTGCTTCGCTCTCGAGACCTAATTTTCAGCCCCTCAAAAGAGGGAGCGACAAATGGATCCGAGAGGGTGGCGAGAAAGATTTACCCATTCTATCCCATTATGTTTTCACAATATTGGTCCTTGTCCATCCTTGTCATATTGTTGGCCGAAGGATGAATTCTGCAGCCCATACCACAGAGTTCGATCCCATCCAACCATATCCAACCATTATAGCAATGTTTTCACAGCACCTTAAGGGTCTTGCAGGTCCGTACGATTCCATATGCACGACGCCTTCATTGCCTTCCGCCGCAGAGATTCGCCTCCTTTAAAGCCGGAGGTGGAGCTTTGGTGTAGGTTTTAAGCATTGCCGGAAGGTGGCATAGCACCAACTGGTGCAAGCTTTTGCCATGCGCAGCATGCAGCAACCTGCTCAAGTCGATTCCTCTTTTTTTCCGAAGCCCTCAGTGGCCAAGAATAAAGCCATGAGCCTGTCGTTCGGAAACCTGCATCGACTTTGCACAGAACCTTGAGGTCGTTGTTGCAAGAAAAGAAAAAGTCAGATCAGCAAAAGCTGTGCATGTCAAGGAAGCCCAAAACATTAATTCAAAAACAAACTTCCAGGACTCCAAGACCTTCTAGGTGTCCTTCGACATCCTTCGACTTGTCAACTAATCTCGACCAAGAAATGCTGCAGCACATCCCCAGTGCATACACTGTACTGGATCCGTTCGGGTCAACAGACCATCCAGTTGTAGCCGGTATTCCCACTCTCTTTCCAGGTACAGCTTCTTTTATTAACGGCCTGTCTGCGATCATTGCGACTTGGCTGAAAACAGTGAAGTCTTCGACTGCAGGGACTCTATATATAATGATAATATATCCCCCCATGTAAAGCTCTCTATGAAGTGGACATCCTTTGCGCTTATAAAGTGGGCTTCCGGTCGCCACTTTATACACCGACCATGGGGATAAAGCCGTGTTTTGCGCAAGAAACATGCCCTTGGACCTGGAAGATGACTTTATACAACGTTGGCGTTCCAGTTTATATCCGGCTAGTTTCCCACAAGGAAACGACTCAATATATGCGGCAATGCATTTTATAGACCGTTGGTTCCCTTCAAAGAATGGCCATAACATGTCATACCATCCGCTCTAGAGAAACATATCTTCCCAATGATTTCGAGCCAATATTTTTCTGTTGGGTCTTTATACATCGCAAAGCACTTTATAGAGGGAAGATTGCCCTTTAAGAAGGGAACTTTTGCTGCAGCCAGGGCATTTTATAGAGAGAAAGTTGCAGCAGAGCATTTTATAGAGTCATGAGATGCATCATCTAAGTCACTTTATAGAGCTGAACTTCTAGCAAACCTTTTTATAAAGGATGGACATGAACCGGACGTAATCAAGTCACTTTATATCCAGCAGGATGTCATGGATTTAATGTGGCAACACCGCTTTGAATTGCGAAGGGATGGAAGGGGCTGGAAGTATATGAAGTGGTCCAGCCAACATCGATTGATGTTTTTTCGGGGGGTGCACCCCGGACAGGCCACTTTATAGATGCCTTCTCTGCTCGGGAGCGGGTACAAAGTTGTCCAACCAACACTGATTGGGGTTCTTTCAGGGGTGTAACCGGACAAGCCATTTTATAGAGGCGTTCTCTGCTCGGGAGCGGGTATATAAAGTGGCCCAACCAACATCGATTGGGTCTTTCTCAGGGGTGTAGCCCGGCACTTTGTAGAGGTGTTCTCTGCCCGGGAGCGGGCATATAAAGCGCAACATTGATTGGGTTTTTTCAGGGGTGTAACCCGGACAGGCCACTTTATAGAGGTGCTCTTTGCTGGGGAGCGGGTAGAACGTGGTCCAACCAACATCGATTGGGTTTTTCTCAGGGGTGTAGCCCGGCCAGGCCACTTTATAGAGGCGGTCTCTGCTCGGGAGCGGGTATAAAGTGAGTGGTCCAACAAACATCAGCTGGGTATTTTTCAGAGGTGTAACCCGGCCAGGCCACTTTATAGAGGCGTTCTTTGCGGAGCGGGCATAAAGCGGTCCACCAACATCAATTGTGTTTTTTCAGTGGTAACCCGGACAGGCCACTTTATAGAGAGGGTTTGGGGGCTCGGCCACTGCACAAGGTGTCAGGTGGCGAGGAGACACTTTGTTGCGTACTTGGAAGCAGAAGATTGCAATTTCCATGTACATGCCTTTTGAAACCACCAGACGCGCAAAAACGGAGATGAGAACCCAGCTATATTCAATATACTTGCCTTGTGAGACCATTTACATGCCTTCTGAGACCATCCAGACGCACAAAAACGGAGATGCGAACCGAGGTATATTCAATATACTTGCCTTCTTAGACTATTTAGACGCACAAAAACGGAGATGAAACCAGGCATATTCAATATATGTCCCTTCTGAAGCCATCATTTTTTTTCAGGGCTGTAATTTGGACACTCATGGACACTCCATTTCGATAAAAACACCAATATCGATATAAAATGGAAGGCCATAGTGCTCCCAAAATGGAAGCGCACAGTGGTACCAACATATAATGCTAACATAAAACCACATGGAAATTGCAATCTTCTGCCTCCAAGTACGCCACAAAGTGTCACCTGACACCTTGTGCAGTGGCCGAGCCCCCAAACCCTCTCTATAAAGTGGCCTGTCCGGGTTACCCCTGAAAAAACACAATTGATGTTGGTGGACCGCTTTATGCCCGCTCCTGGGCAGAGAACGCCTCTATAAAGTGGCCTGGCCGGGTTACACCCCTGAGAAAAACCCAACCGATGTTGGTTGGGCCACTTTATACCCGCTCCCGGGCAGAGAACGCCTCTATAAAGTGGCCTGTCCGGTTACACCCCTGAAAAAAATCCAATCGATGTTGATAACGACTTCGATATCGATATTTGTCTGGCTGTCGGTTTAGTTCGGTTTCGATGTTTTTTGGGTTTCTCATCAATGAGATAGATGATATTCCCCTAAAGTTTGAACGCGGCCCCTCATGCAACTTTATACACAATCATATCGATGCTTCCATCGACGTGATTAAGAAAACCATCGATATTACAACGATCGTTGGTGAGTAGGAAATCCACATTATAGCGCCACTGTTCGACACAAGTACTGCTATCTGGATGTTCGGCATCTCAGTTTATAGTAATGGGAAATGTTCACAATTACCCTCAAAAACCCACATCAAATTTTATGTTTTTACGTGGCCAGGCGACTTTATACAACGTGGGATTTTGACTTTATAGCCAAAACATGTTGGATTTCCACTTAATAGACTCCAATCATGTGGCCATTCCAGTTTATACCAGGCTATTCTGTATAGAGTCGGCCGCAAAGCATCTAGCGAGCTGCACATGGGTATATATTAAATACTATGTATATATATAATATATATAATATATATATAATATATATATATTTAAGGTGACTCCATTCCTGAAGTCATCATCGGACCCTTCCTGGGACAAGCAGCAAATTTTCATAAATTTTCCCTGAGGAAATGGATGTATGTATCCACTGTCATTCAGTGGATCAAAGGCATCGCTCACAACATCTGCAACGATGTGAGTTGGACTGAAAAGCAAGCGCGCTGGCTCTTCCCAATCTTCCAACTAACTGGCAAGTGTCCAATAAAGTAAAGATAGCCTTCTCAGATAAATCGAACCGCTCTTTTGTCAGCCGGTGAGTGGGAATATCAAAGTCAGTCTGTTTTGAAAGCACATCCAAAAAAGACCATGACAAAACGAACGCTGCACTCCACTTCTCAATACGATGCTTCAAGGTACCCTGCTGGGCTTGTCTACTACGGTGTACTGCTACCGCCCCTTGTCTTATGTATTCTAGGGCAGCTCGCTCAGTAGACCAACGACCATACAAAAGAATATCTTGCAGTGGCATTCCCATCCGACTCAATTCTGACGCACCAGACCTACGAAAGGAATGAGTGCTGATCACCATTCCGTCACCCCCTGGCAAGAATGAAAGCTTCTTCACCCAGCGTAGGAACGAGGAATAAGAGACACAGAACACAAAGTCATAGGGGATCCAGCAAACCTGCTAAGAAATTCTAAAGTGAAATGCACGACTGAGCCATTGCGCATGACCACTTTCTGCTCAATGGTCCTCTTGGTTTGCCCTAGACATAGAGTAACTGATTCAGCTCGCGCTATGACATCCTTACATCGGAGTGACAAGGCTTCTCTCACCCTCAATAGTCCTGCGTAGCAAAAGACCATCACACAGGCAACTTGAGGCTTGCCCAAAAATAAAGCCATAGCCATCAAACTCTGCAAGAATTCTGGGGTGGCTGCTGGAGCCTGTTTGGCTGGCTGGTATTGGCCCCGGATGTCAAAAACGCGCCATGCTGTCTTTGAACGCAGTCTAGGCCAGATTTTCTGCATTGCTCAGAGCGCCCAACCATACTCAGCTTTTCCGGCTCCTGACTCTTAGCCGTCTATCAACCATTCTGCTATGAAGCTGTCTTGTTCCTCTTCGGTCATTCCCCCCCAACATTGATGGTGTGTCAACAACTCATTGTTGAGGTTTTCCAACGCCACTACGTATTTTAAACAGTTGCAGGCCTCAATGAGTGAAGCAAGAAAGTTTGCACCCGGTTGAGGCCATGGCCAGGAAACATGGAACCTATGTTGCCAAGGGTCAGGGCCCCCCCCGGCAAAACTAGAGGTGATTGTGGCATCATGTAGTGCTTCTCATGAGCCAATACCAAGCGTTTCATGAAACATTCAGCCAACGCGCAACATAGAGCAACGGGATACTTCGCTGCCGGTGTGGTTCGAAACTGCCCATTGTCATCCAACCTCGCAAGCAAGGGATGCGATTCACTGTGATTGCAACGCAATACATCGAAAACACTAGCCCTTGGAACTATCAAACCAGTGGGTTCCTTACCTAATGCCCCATACATGCATTGATCAATTTCAAGGTATTGTAACCGCAACTGCTGCATAAACCCTTTCACCTCCTCAGTGCTGAAGAAAGAAGGGTATGGTTCCCTGCCCCTGTCAGCAGGATGCTCTAACCCAGTCCAACCACTTGCACTGCTATCTCCCCCAACAATCCCAATGTGATCAAAAACAATGCACTACCCGCTTGACTGCATGGATTTCCGTATCACTGCAATAATCCAAAGGTATCCAAGGGTTACTTCTAGCGCGCAGGGGTCGAGGTGCTTTACGTCCTGGGAGGTTCAGAGGTTGATGTCCCGCCGCTGAAATTGTACTGCATGGAGGGGAACTGAAACCACCCACAACTGTTTTGTTCTTGATGAAGTCTAGGAGCCAGCAATCACATTGCACATGCAATAAATCATTCCACAATTTTAGCCTGTCCCCCAGACCTTGAATATCAAAACCATGTTCATGACCCAACATCTCCACAGCATCCAATAAATCACCAGATCGGCGGGGACCACCGCACAAATGAATGAACAATAGCTGATGTGATGGCCAGCAACCCAGTTCAGCAATGTCAACGGTTGGCTCACTAGACGCCAGCTCCGCCCGCTCAGACTTCGCTGAAGACGGATCATACCTCCGGGATGGATCATCCGCTGGATTCTCACCACTTGGCATCCATGAGTAAAAAACTTCATGTCCACCAGATATATTGATGCTAGCCATACGTCTGCACCTACTGTTCAACTGGTGGGAGCTTGATCTACCCTTTGCAGGCACAAGGCAAGCTGCCGAGTCCAGGCCATGCACAAAACGCCCTCCACAAGGGGGGGCGCCTCAGCCTATCCTCTGCCGCCCAGCAGGCTGCATCTGCTTCACCTAGCGTGATGTGCTTGCATCTCCACGGCACCCTAGATTTTGTCCACCGAATACGCTCAATAGGCAACCGAATCTTTCTCATGGGACATACGTATCGTTGTTGCAACCCTATACCCCAAGGAAGTGAAAGATTGGTGTACACCCCTTGATGATCTGTGTACCTTGCCAAGGCCCGCGCCACCATCTCAGGGAAAATACCAAAGGCTCTGCCCAAGCCTGACATTGACGCATCAGTGCACTCGAGTCTTGTTGACCACGGGCTGGATAAATCAAATTGAGCAAAAGGCAACAGTAAAGCCGATGCCAAAAGTTCTGACCATACCTCTTCCGGCAACTCCACCAAAGCACGTTTAGACTCCCTCACTGAAGTAATCCAAACATATGTATGCTCAAAATTGATCTAAGACAAGGTCTACCAGAATGAACAAAACTATGTGTTCCGATCAACCTGTCCACCACGGCCACCACAACCCTACGTCTCAGCAACAAAGAAATTGTCGCTTGAAAAAGAATCCGTCTCTTCTCAATGGAGACCCCTACCCAATGGTCATGACGATGAATATAGTAACCCTGAACTTCCTCGCCTGCTGCACCATTGACCGACTTTTTGGCATTGGGCTCAACTCCGCGTAGGCACCAACAATCCTCCGCACGCTGAAGCCACTGCGGCCCAACGAGTTCTGAATCATCAGTGTCTATGTGTTCCACTGCCCAAATATCGTCAATGATCGATCCCCAAATAGGCAACTCATTAGGGACTTATCAGGATGTAACCGGCGATCTTGAGGAAGGTCTGCATCTAGAGTCACTCTGATGGACCAAAACCCCATGGGTGTAGACTGACATGCTGGGTAACCCCACCTGAACGCTTCGGCAAGTCAATAGGAGGGCCGCAAAGCCAACGTCCCCATGGACGTCCTATCCACAAGCGGTGAAAATCACCACCACCAAACCATGTCTGGGCACTGACACCCCACGCATAGAAGGTATGAACGCAAACTTGGGACGAGGCAAAACATCAGGGTTCAGGAGCTGATTGACTTGGGGGTCTGTGATAACACGATCTTCGCTGCTATCCTTCACAACCGCAAAAGCACCCGCCAAAATTGTGTTTCCCTATAACGTGCCACTTGATGGGGCTGTTTCAACTTGTGAAGTCAAGCCTTAACGTTCTTGCGCACCAGCTCACCATACGATGGAGCCAACCAAGTGTACCCACGTTTGACTAGCTTGGGGCGTTTCCGGGACTTTATCAACAACATGGTATAGGGTTCCGCACTTGCTGACTCATCTCCGGAAAAGAAGTCTCCAGGTGATCGGCCAACTGCACATCAGCCGCCTTGTCAGGGACTCCACCTTGTACTCCTAGAGCTAGTACAACTCCACTTCCCGAGTAGAGCCGAGAATGCCTCAAATAATCGTCGATCCCCTGCGGACCAAGGACAGGCTCATCGGTCATCACCTGAGCCTGGAGGGTGTTGGCAATCCTGTCACGCACCCTCATGTGAGCAGCATAAGGACCATGCCCGAGGTGCCCGACACAATGAGATTTCCACAATAATACAAACATTGCAAAAACTCGTTCTCCTCACAGACATCCAGGGATAAATTCCGTTCCTTCCAATTCATAGGAGGTAATGGAAAAACATGTGCAGGTGACAACATGGAGGAGCTCTTCTTTGAAAATCCACCACGCTTGAATTCAAACATGCGCCATGACTGCCTCAGTATGCTGAAAATCGAGCCAAGCCTAATGAAGAATCATCGCTGTTGAGAACATTCACCAAAGCATGCCCAGTCCTCCCGTAGAAATCACTGAAGCCCAGCCGCTCCTTCGATGCACCTGACAACGCATACCAGGACTGTCTGAATCTCCTCTTCATTGATTGGTCAATGCCAGCATGCTTGTGCTGGCCAGGGACTTTCTGTTGTCGACCAGCTCGATGGCCTCGGCTTTCTCCCAGGTTCCTCCCTTTTGCTTTGCGGCCTGGATTGCCAGAATGCGCTGACATAGCACATCCAAGGCCTGGGAAATCTCTTCCCTGTTCACAGCATCTAGGATCTCCGCTGACGTCACCACCTCCTTCATGTCCCGGACCTCTGTGAGGCCTGAGAACTGTTCGGCAGTCAGTGCACCCGGATGTCGAGCTGCGAATGAAACCAAGTCCCCCCTCTTCAGTTTCAACT